CTTAGACTAATTCATATCAACACTCGTAACCCAATCTCCTTAATCGGTCCAGCCTCAGGTCTAACCTTAGGATCTTTCGTGTCTTAACCTTCACCACTAAACTTTATCCTCTCAATTCTATCCCCCATTATCTTGCCATTTGGGCGAGGCGAGAATTGGTCTCTTATAACTGCTCATGAATAGCGTAAATCAACTCTTACTCCTTAACCATACTAGTTTCAAGCTCTCGGGTCTTGTCATTTTACATCCTTAAAATATTCTTTTAGTTCATATACTTGGTAACCTTTGCCTCGTACTAACAATAGCTAGCACCACACCATCAAGATAAAGAATCTATCATCTCACAATCACACTAATTTCTTCCATTCCTATAAATCCAATAATGGTTCAAGTCTTATTTAAACTTCTACTAATCATCCTTTCACTTAGTATTTCAATTACATCTCACATTAGCTCTACAGTCCGGCATCCTAAACATCTAGTTTAGGATACATTATAGTGATCTAAAACCTAAATCTCTGATACCACCTGTGATAGCCCCACCTCCACCTAGGGCAAACCTAAGGGTTTGGTGGACCGCCTGCCCAACTCTTGCCAAGACTCATGCACTCACTTGAAACAAATCACGATTTTCAAGCCAAACAATTTCTTAAAACCAAAAAACTACTTGAATAACAACAACCACAATCCTTAGGCAATAGTGTTAACTATTACAACCATAATATTTCAAATACAAATGAAATCTACACTTTCAAATGTCCAAAAGTCACTCAAGGAATCACACTAACTCTAGACAAAAGTTGGCTAGCCTAGCACCTCCAATTCTTCACTTCAAATTCCTGTTAAGGAATAACAACTTAAAGGGATGAGCAGACGTTCAGTGAGGCCAAGATATCAAACAAGTAAGTAGAACAAGTACCATAATTCAACTCAAATAGCACATATATAGAATAGCAACAATGGTTTTACGTAAAGCCACAAAAGGACTAAAACACATTCATTAAGAGGATACACGAGCTCTCAGGAATTAATCTCAGGAATTAATCCACAAGTTTGCCATTTCATGATCTTGGATGTTATTTCTTTTGTTGACACTCCGTCAACCATGCAAATAACAAGTCCATAGAATTCACTTGACACGAACCCCTACCGGACCCGAACGCCAAATAGAAATAGTGGTAGTAATACTCAAGTATACCCAAACAAGAACAAGTATAGTCGATGAGATAGCATTCCAATCGACTTAATTACGATAAAAGTACCGAGACGGGATGAACGGCACCTCCCACTCGGATTGAGTGTGGTACATACTGCCGCTCAGCACTAGGGTCGATGAGATAACTCTCCAATTGACTTAATCAGGATAAAAGTATTGAGACGGGATGAGAGGCACCTCCCACTCGGATTGAGTGTGGTACATGTTGTCGTTCAGCACTGGAGTCGATGAGATAACTCTCCAATCGATTTAATCAAAATAAAAGTGTTGAGACGGAATAAGAGACACCTCCCACTCGGATTGAGTGTAGCACATGCTGTCACTTAACACTTACAAGTCGAGCACAAGTACAACCACAAGTATAGGTCAATCAAGTTCAAACAAGTAAAAGATCATTCAAGAAGGGGAGGACGAGTGTGATAAAGTACACCCTCGCCTCATCAAATTTATAATTCAACACATAACACGTGGTATCATTCAAATCAAGATATCAAGAAAAATGCACTTGACACTCACCAGTTTAAGCAAAATAACGTTAAAAATTTGCCCCCGAGTTATGCCCTTGATCACCAACAAACCCTAAGAACAACCAAGATAAAGTATTATAGTTCAACCATTCTAAACTTAGGTGAACTAAAGAAAATCCAAGTCTACTAGTGCAACGATGCAAATATGATTTTGGAGTGAAAAGAGAATATTTAGACCTAAGGGGCATGAGTAACCAAGAATTTCCTCATTCCAATCATAAAACCAAGTTCAAAATGGTTTAACAACTTCAACTTAAAGTTGGAAATGAAGTAAGAACAGTTTTAGGAAAATAGAATTTTTCCAATTTTGCGCGATGCTATTTGAAAAATCATATCTCAAGCTTCTTAAATCCAAAATTTATAAACTTTATACCATTGAAAAATAGACTAAAAAGGTTACAATTTCCCAGAAGAAATATTTGTAAGATTCTATCCATAAATCAGTGAAATTCTAGCCTCAAATTGCTGCTTCATCCAGTAGAAAAACAGAGCAGGTGTGGAAATTCAGTCAACTTTGGAAAATCACAGATATTCATAGGAATTGAGAAAAATTCTGAAATTTTCACGGGAAATTACTCTGAATCTAGTTTCCAACGCAACAAGCAGAACTCAATTTGGATTTTTTTACACCAAGAAATGACAGATTTCCCAAGACTACTCAGAGTCTCCTGCAGGAAAATTTCCAGCCATGGGTTTTGGTCAAAATGTAAGGTTTAAGCCACTTAAAATGCATAATTTTGATCAAATTTCAGCACACACTTCTAGGGTAAAGTAGAATAACGTATTTTGAGAAAAACCAAGCCTAGATCATCAAGAAAATTTTGAAACAAAAGCTGCAATTGCAGCCCTTCCATTCGGCCAGCAACCAGAAATTTTCCTCCCAATTTTTTTGACTTTCCTCCAACTCATTGTACCAAGTTCAGCCCAAAACATCTAGTAATTCCATAGGGTTTCATCACTAACACAACAATAAACACTTATGAAACCAAAATTATGACAAGATAGTCATTAAAATTATACCATAAGCATATGTATAATCAAACCCTAACTCGAGTATGAAGTATAAATATCATCAACTTGAAAACTACCAAGAGTCACCATCAAATCATGTCTTTATCCAATAGTCAACCTTATTTTTGAACATAAAACAAAGAAAGGAGGTTAATCTAGCCTTTTATCTCTTTTCCTTCCAACTAAGATGAATTTCCAACCACTAAATCTTCTTCCCTTTTCAAGCTCTAGCAAAGGTAGATGGATTCCCCAAGGTATGTTCTTCCTTTTCCCACAAAATACAAGCAAGATTCAAGCAATTTTTGATGAAGTTTCTTCTCTCTTTTCCTCCTCAGGCTCACGGTTCTCTCTCTCTTTCTTTCTCTTATATTTGTTTGTTATTTCTTAAGGCAAGAAATGGAAGATAAATGGTAAGAAAGCTTTGGTCAAAAGTCAAAGAAAGAGGCTTGGCTCTTATGGTGACACATGTCACCCTCTAGAGAATTCTTATTGTACTAAACCCCCTCATTTTTTTCAAAAGTTCCTTTCACACCCCACTAAAAAGAAAAAATTGCATTTTACCCCACACACAAATTTTCACATGTAAAATTTAATAAAAATATTAAGGCAAAATAATTATCAAATCGATAAATAAACAAATAGATAACTAAATGAATAAAATTGCAAGGTAAGTCTATCTTTACTTGTCAAACATATGTGAATTGTCAAGAGTTATTCTAACAATTACCCCTCACTTCTATATTCTCATGTTATGTTCCTAGTAATTTCTTATTCTAGTGTTAATTTCTATAAAGGTTGATCTAACACTAATATAGGGTACATCCAAGTTATTTAATCACAAGAAACAAGTAACAAGTAACAAGTAAATACAACACCTTCATTTCTAAAACAAAAGCATGAAATACACAGTAAATTTCGGGCTCTCACAGATTAAGCCGTACTTCAAAATTGGTTCTTGTGGAATTTAACCCTATTTCCTTTGTATTACAATACACAACCCGTACACTTGCGATTAATGAGAGAATTACATTTAAAATTAGAACGTAGGTATAAATCTCGTCAAGTTTTTGGTACCGTTGTCGGGGAACTATGGCAATATTAGGGCTAAAACAATCTTTATTACTCTAGATATTGTAGTGTATTGTGGATATCTTTTAGTTAGTAGATAGAGTGGTTTTTACTTTATCAAGTTTGTTTAGTTTGTAGTTAACTTCTCTTAATTGTGATCCCAATAGTGCATGCACCGAGCTCTACATGAAACAGTTCCATTGGATTCGAAAATTGAAAGAATTCTAAGGAGACTACAAAGGCAAACACTGCAAGATATCGTGAAAAATCAAGAAGGAAGGGGAATTTTCATTGAATTTCCTCCAATTGATACAATAGCGGATGAAGAGAATAGATGACCTTTAAGGGACTTTGCATTGTTTGGAGGGAATGAACTACAAACACGCATTGCAAGACCTACGGTAAATGCTAATAATTTTGAAATTAAACCTGCACTAATTCAAATGGTGCAACAATCTCAATATAGAGGTAATGCTACCGAAGATCCTAATTCTCATTTGTTTATCTTTTTGGGAATATGTGATACAATTAAACTTAATGGAGTGAGTGACGAAGCAATTAGGTTTAAATTGTTTCCTTTTTCTTTAAGAGACAAGGCCAAGGTGTGGTTACAATCATACCCTCCTAATACTTTCACATTTTGGGCCAATTTATCCAAGACATTCTCAAATAAATTTTTTTCATCAGGCAAAACTGCTAAATTTCGTATGGATATAATTGGGTTCTCTTAACAAGACGGAGAGTCATTATATAAAGCTTAGGAGTATTTTCAGGAGCTTTTACATAGATGTTGACATCATGATTTGCCTGATTGGCTCATGGTTCAAACCTTCTATAATGGACTAAATTATTCCACCAAAACTCATGTAGATGCTGCAACAGGTGGAGCATTGATAGGTAAATCTATCGAAGAAGCTCAACAACTCATTGAGGAGATGGCAGCAAACAATTATCAATAGGCTAATGAGTAAGGTAATACAAGAAGACCCGCAGGTATGCTTGAAGTAGATACCTTGAATATGTTGAATGCCAAGATGGATAATGTGGTTAAGATACTTAATATATATTTTTTCGAAACGATAATTTGTATTACTTATATAAAAAATATATACAATCTAAGCAAAGGCTCAAGGATGTTTTACAAGTTGTGCAACTTAGTATAATGGAACTGGAAAAGTCTATTCCACATCTTGATTTCTGCTCAAAGCTTGAGCACTAATTATGTAGCTTAGATCCGTATTTTCTATTCCTACCAAACAAAAGGAGCACATTCGAAACAAAATACTCGGTGCTTGTATATCTTCCAGCAATGTAGCCACCAAGTTGTTCCTATTCGCATTCCTTTGCAGTTGATTCAGCAGCTCCTTACTGGTTGTTTCAACAGTAATTGTTGTCCATTCCTGTTCCAAGGTTTTAATTAAAGCATAACGTATAGCTTCAACTTCCTGTTGAATGTTGCATCCTGTCATCTTTTCTCTTAGTCCCCATCCTGCTATGTAGCATCCTCCTCCATCTTTGGCAGCTATACCATAGCCAACAGTGCTTGTCTCTTTTTGCCTTGAAACTGAAACTCTTAGTACTCTTCTCTATATTCTTGTGTTGAGTGTGTGTTGCCTTTCTGCCCTGATTTGTTACTGTGGTATTTCTGTTTCTGCTATGCTTCTGATACTTACTGGCTTATCCATACTTTGAAACTCTAGCCATTCATTACTGGCCTTAGTAATGATTCTCATAGGTTCCTTTACTTTGGCCTCAAACATTCTTTCCTTCCTTGCTTTCCAAATGTGCCAAACTATAGTTACTGTGAGTGCAATGTGTTCCATCCCCTGTTGTCCGTATCTTGCTTCAATAACTGATGACCACCATTTTTTGAAGTTGCCAGTTGATGCCATGATTCCATCCCATTGAATGGGCGCTAGTTTCCAAATCTCTTTAGCCACATTCAAAAAATATATGTTCCATTGTTTCCATCCTTTCCCTACAACCTTTACAGTAGGGGTCTTTCTTATGTGTTCTCCTCCATATTAGTTCATTCACTGGTAGTCCCTCACTTAAGTACTTCCACATAAACACTTTCAGTTTGTGCTTGACTGGCACTTTCCACAGTACTTTCCATATAGGAGACTTGGGATTGGTATAGCTTGTGTTGTCTACTTGCTATTCGCCTTTGGTTTTGTTCTGTTTTTTCTCCATATTCTCTTGTAACCTGACTGCATAGTGTATTCTCCTTTTTTATTATCTGGCTAGAAGGTACTGTCCTCTTTGTCAACCACACTAATTGGAATACTTAGGATATCTTCATCTTCCTTCTTCTTAAAAAGCCTGTATATCAGAGGCCCGTTCCACCTATGCCCAATTATCAAGTCCGCCACCTTCTGCAGAGTGCAGCCTGGTGGTTTTTTGGTTATTGGTTGGCCTTGATTACAGTTAGGAATCCATCTATCTTCCCAGATTCTGGTGCTTCTTCTGGTTCCTATTCTCCTTTTGATTCCATCATCCAGCTCATTTCTCACTCTAGTTACACTTTGCCAAAACCATGAAGCATTTTTTGACAGATTTGCCTTGTCTGCTCCTCATCTGCATTTTTTGCTGAAGAAGGCACTTGATTTCTCCAAATTAACTAGTTGTCCAGATGCTAATTCATATCTATGCAATAGCTCCATTAGTTTCCTAGCTTCAGTAGTTCCTGCTTTGCAAAACACTAGAGAATCATCAGCAAATAGCAAGTGTGTAAGAGTTGGTCCCCTCCTGCTAATTTTCAATCTCTTGATTGTCCTTTCTTGATCTGCCCTTTTTAAAAGATTGGGAAAAGCCTCAGAACATATGAGAAATAAATATGGTGAAAGAGGGTCTCCTTGCCTAATTCCCCTACTTGGTGAAATATACTCCTTTAATTCCCTATTAACATTAAAAGAGTATGAAATTGTGTTGACACATTTCATGACCCATTCTATCCCCAAATCACAGAAACCCATTTTCCTCATCATGGCTTGTAAGAAAGGCCATTCCATCCTATCATAAGCCTTAGCCATGTCCAATTTCACAGCCATAAAGCCCTATTTTCCATATCTTTTATTTTTTAGGAAATGCAAATATTCATGGAAAATAATAATATTATCTAGGATCTGTCTCCCAGGGACAAATGCAACTTGATTTTTGCTAATGCAAGTATTAAGGAGTGGTTTTAGTCTATTCACCAAAATCTTTGAAATGACTTTACACACCACATTGCATAAACTAATAGGTCTATAGTGTTTCAGGTCAGTGGGGCAATCAACTTTAGGAATCAAGAAAATAACAGTGTGGTTTAGAGCTTTGAACATGAATTTGGATTGAAAAAACTTTGAACTGCATTTACTACCTCTAGTTTAATGATATGCCAGAATTTTTGGAAGAAAATAGGAGACATACCATTCAAACTAGGGGCTTTGTTAGGATCCATAGAGAATGTTGCAATACTTATCTCTTCTTCCATCACTGGTTTGGTCAGTTCCTGGTTCATTTGATCAGTTATAGAATTTGGAATTCCCTCTAGTATATTCTCAATATTTCCCTTGCAAGAAGATGTGAACAAGTGCTTGTAATACTCTGCTATTTCAGCTCCTATTTCCTCATCACTAGAGGTCCAGTTGCCATCAGATTTCTGCAATTGCTGTATTTGGTTCCTTTTCCTTCTCCCATTGACAAATGCATGAAAAAACTGTGTTCCTGTCTCCTTCCTGTAGCCATTTTATTCTAGCTTTTTGGCTCCAGTGCAGTTCTTCTTTCCTATATGCTTCGTTCAGTTGCCTTTTGAGAAGGTCAGTTCTTGCCTTTTTATTTCCATCTGCAGAGTCTTGGTTAAGATACTTAATAGACAAGTTGGTTCTAGTTCTAATCAAAGAGTAAACGTTGCATGTTGTACTATGTGTGGAGGAGACCACGATGACTTTATTTGTTCAAGTGTTGAACAGGTACAATATCTCAACAATTATAGCCAGCAACCCCAAAACAATCCATACTCCAATACCTACAATTCAGGGTGGCAAAATCATCCAAAGTTTGGATGGAAGGACTAAGGGAACCAATCACAGCCAACAAATCCACCTAATTTTTAACCAAAACAACCACCTATGTAGTCTAAACCAGTTTCGGAGTTGGCAATTGAGAAACTAGCAAATGCATCAAATAACAAATTTAAAAAATTAACTAGCACCACTACTCAACGGTTTGAAAGAATTGAGGGTAGGATGGACCAATTCACCAATATGTATAGGAATGTTGAGATTCAATTAGGCCAAATAGCCAATGTTGTAAAAAATAGGAACCAAGGGGAGTTATCAAGCAAAATCGTGATAAGCCCAGAAGAACATTTAAGGCTATAACCCTCCGTAGTGGTAAGCGATTGAGTGAGCTGTCGGTTGATGAGATAATGAAAGAAAAAAAATGAGAGTAAAGAAGAAGAGCGGGGGAGTGAGCTAGTAGAAGAGAGTGAGCAAAACAAAGGAAAAGACAAAGTGGAATTAAGTGAACCATCAACCTTCGAAATGATCCCTATTCCTTCACCGGTTCCATTTCCACATAGATTGAAATCATCAAAAGTTAACAAAGAATTTGAAAAATTCGTCAACATTTTTAAACAATTACATATTAACATTACATTTGTTGATACTATTTTGTAATTCCCTCTTATGCAAAGTTTCTCAAGAAAATAATGACCAAAAAGAGAAAATTAGAAGATTACGAGACTATTGTGTTAATCGAGAAATGTAGTGCTATCATACAAAATAAATTGCCACCAAAATTGAAGGATCTTGGGAGTTTCATGGTTCCTTGCACTATTGGTAATGTAGAGCTCTCTAAGGTATTATGTGATTTTGCTGCTAGTGCTCATTGATTCCTTTAACTGTGACTAGGCAATTGGGATTGAATGAATTAAAACGTACTAACATCTCTTTTCAATTGGCCGATAAGTCTATTAGATATCTATTGGATATTCTTGAAAATGTGCTAATTAATATATAAAAATTTATTATTCCCTTTGATTTTGTTGTTCTAGATATCGAGAAGGATGTTAATATACCTGTTATTCTTGGTAGGCTATTTTTTGCCACCGCAGGTTCTATAATTAATGTTAAACGTGGCAAATTCAAGTTTCAAATTGATGAAGAAGAGGTGGAGTTCGATTTGACAAAAATGAAAAAATATCACTCTTTCACCAACCATGTTTATTCCACTGGCATATGTGATGAATTGACAAAAGAGATGAGTCAAATTAAATTTGACTATGATTCTCTTGAACATTGTTTAAATGATGTAGGATTATATGAGGGGGAAGTAGAAGAAATGACCAATTACTTGCATGCACAAATCTCTTACAAAAGAGGCAACTCATATGAAAGTTTAGGGATAAGCAAAGGACTTTCGCCACCATTTCATGAGCAAGCTCCATAGTTTGACGTCAAGTCACTTTCCAACCATCTTAAATATGCATTTCTTGGGGAGAAAGGAACTTTGCCCGTGATTGTCAATGTGACTCTTGATGAGGAGCAATTTGATAAACTCCAAAGAGTTTTGAGGAAGCATTTGAAAGATTTAGGATGGACCATTTCCGACATCAAAGGAATTAGTCCAACCATTTAAAAGAATTGCTAAATTCAGCTCTAAGTGATGAAAAAAGTTTTTCTTCCAGGGACTCTAAACTCCGCACTTCCAAATAACTAGGGTTTCTGTTTTGGCTTGTCGGCATGGCGGCCTCCACGCCGCCTGGACACCAGATTGTGGATCCCTCTGCTGCCAATCCCACTCAAGCGCCCATAAGCTTTGCGGCGGCTGTGGCCTGTTCTGCCCTGCCAAATGCGGGCTCGGAGGTTGGAGTGGTCTCTTCCTTTCGAGGAGAGCTAACACTGCGGATGACTCGAGAGGACATGCTGCGCTTGAAGGAACCTTTTCGCCATGCGCTGGTAGGGAGATTCGGAGTACGCCGACCCTCCATGGATCTCATACGTAAGTTTTTTGTATCCCTGGGCTTGAAAGGCTCCTACTCTGTGGGTCTGTTGGACCCAAATCATGTTCTTATCCGTCCTACCCTCCAAGAGGATTACGCGAGACTGTTCCTGTGTCGGCTCTGGTATATCAATGGTTCGCCCATGACAGTCTCAAAGTGGTCGCTAGACTTCAGAGCAAACCAGGAGATTGTTGTGGCCCCTGTCTGGGTCACTTTCCCAGAGCTTCCCATCCCATTCTTCCACAAGACGCAACTCTCCAAACTTGCATCGACGCTGGGAAGGCTGTTGCGAATTGATGCGGCAACAGCTGATCTATGGCGCCCGTCAGTGGCCAGGGTTCTGGTCGAACTAGACGTCTCCAGGCCGCCACCTAAGCACATATGGATCGGAGATAAGAATTTTGGCTTTTGGCAACCGGTGGAGTTTGAGGGGTAGCTGGCCTTCTGCACTTTCTGCAATAGATTTGGACATGAGGAGGTAGAGTGCAACATAAAAAACCCATCCCTGCGTCCCCCTAAGCCTTCATCCGCTGCGGCCCAGCCGGTGCCCGCCCAGTCCAACCGTCAAGTGTTTGTCCCCAAACTGGCCAATGCTACTGACTGTCGCCATGGCGATGGTCAAATATCACACGACAGTGGCATTTCTCAGAATGTTGCCGCTGGAGAGGCCACGGCCGCATCTCCATTGCCTCTGCGGGACACGGTACTTTCTCACGGGCAGAACCAGACTCCAGGGTTTGCAACTCAATCGCAGACGGAAACCCAAGTGAATGAGGCAATGCATGACAACATGGCAGTTGTGGCGCTTAACTCCCTGCCCAGGACCGCCGGCAGGATCCTTCTCACGAGGTGGAGGAGCATCGAGTATCCGAAGCCCAGCATTGCCCATAGACATACCTGACTCCA